ACAAGATATCAATGTGATGAATGAAATAGAGTATGTGATGGATCCTAAACAAAAATCAAAATGAAATGAAATGAAATGAAATGTAGTTTAACATTCTACTATTCTGCTCCTAACCTGGGCTAATGAAGACGGGCATACGCAATACAGTGTGCTATGAGGGAAATTTTGCCCGGGCCACAGCGCTACGGCCTACTCTTATATCGAATTCCAACTGCCAAGGGACCTTTTAGGTGCATGCCAATATGTACACGGGACCTCAGTTTTTCCGTCCCATCCGAACGACTAGACAGCTGTCCTTGTCAGGCCCTCCGTCATGCCTCAATGACAAGGGGAAATCACGCCGGAAAATCTGGATGAACTTTCTCGGCCAATGCAGGATCGAACGCCCGACCTCCAGGCTAACGAGCCAGGGTCTCACCCACTTAGCCACGTGGCCCCCCCCCTACAGTAGTACATGTATGATAAAATGGGGACGAATAAATGATGGGAGTCCCTACAGTAGTACATGTATGATAAAGTGGGGACCAATAAATGATGGGAGTCCCTACTGTAGTACATGTATGATAAAGTGGGGACCAATAAAAGATGAAGTCCCTACAGTGGTACATGTATGATAAAGTGGGAATATTGATAATATAGGTAAAGACTGAAGGTGGTTTGTTCTAATTTTAAACCATCAGTAAGATACAATGATTATAATGACATCATTGTTAGCTTATCAACAACTCTGATTAGTCTATAATCGAATCCATGTCCCGTTGATTAAACCAATTTATTCAACTCTTACTGCTTCATATAATATATTAAATACAATTTTCTTAAACTTTAACTAGGAAATAACTTGGTGGTAATTGACGTGCATGAGAAAACAGTAGACATATTGTCTGTTAAAAACGAACATGGACAGTTATTGTTAATTAATAATACAGAAAGTTATTGTGGAAGGTTTTAAAGAGTGAGAGAGAGAAATGGGCTTTAATGTCCACTTGACACAAACTAGGTCATTTCGGGACTAACATATGGTTTAATTTTATTTCAATAATTCGCTTGCGCATTGGGGTCTTTAGCAGTGGGAGGAAACCGGAGGACCCGGAGAAAACCCACGAGGTTGGACAGGCGACCCGACCCTACTCCTTGTCACGTACAACCGGAGATTCGAAACCACGCCAGTCGACTCAATGACAGACTTTTATGATACAGCGCGCGCACGCTCTAACCATTCGGCCATCCTCCCCCCCTGAAAGGTTTTAAAGATGCATTAAGTAAGAGCTACATGTAAACTTATCTATTGTAGATTTTTTACTGGCATCAAATGTTAAATCAAAACTTAAAACACTCATAACTTCACTGAGAATAAATGTAATTTGTCTGAAATTTTCACTATATTCATTTTTCATTATCTACTTTTTGAACTATTATAGCAAGAACGACCAGCTCTTTAACTAAATCTTACATATTATATCTTTAATAAAGATACAATGGATATGATCAATTTATTCTGCTACATAACTTCCTTCAGAATGAAGTAATTTGTCTGAAGTTTTCACTATATTAATTTTTCATTATCTATTTTTTAAAACTATTATAGCAAGAACGACTAGCTTTTTATTTAAATCTTACATAATACATCTTTAATACAAGAACTGTAGAAGTATTTAGTTAATAAAACCCTGTCTTCATTAGCACAGTAGGAGCAGAACAGTAGGACGTTAAACCCCATTTCATTTCATTTCAGTTAAACATACATTATACAAGAGCTAAATCTGTCTATTGCAGGTCTTTCTTTAGGCCTGAAATGTTATCTAAATTATTAATCAGACAATAATTAACCTATCCAGACTATAATCAACTCTAGATGACATCGCTAGCCTGCGATGATTAGTGGATTATGGGCCGATTTATTGCATAACTTTCCTTCACGATTAAACGATTAAATGGATAATCGAGACTATGCTGTTTATCGTACTGACTTTAGTAATGATGATCGAGGCTAGGCAGAAATTTCAATTGCTTAATTCTCGGTTCATAGTGGATCAATTTGAATGAAATTATGTAGTTTTTAACTATTATAGTGAGAACTACCAACTCGTTATCGAATCTCTCATAATGTTTGTATAATAATAAAACTGGTAGTTATTATGAAAGACTGGGTTCTATTACAATATGGTTATTATATCTTATTATAAATATCAGCTCTACTTAAACTATCCATTATATAGCAATCAATTATCCTACCAATTATAGGTATTTCTAACATAGTGACGCAACATACAGTCTCACTTACAACTACATGTATCGTAGTTAGTACAGTAATTACTGAAAAATTCACTAAATTGGCACAGGATTGGTTTAGCAACTTACTGAGAGAGAGAGAGAGAGAGAGAGAGAGAGAGAGAGAGAGAAATGGGGTTTAACATCCACTCAACACAAAATAGGTCATTTTGGGATTAACATGGATATGAGAGAGACAGAGAAATTGGGCTTAATGTCCACTTGACACAAACTAGGTCATTTCAGGACTAACATATGGTTCAGTTTTATTTCGATAATTCACTTGCGCGTAGTGGTCTTTAACAGTAGTAAAAAAAAACCGAGGCCCCGGAGAAAACCTTGGAGGTTGGACAGGCGACCCCTACTCACGTACAACCGAGGAATCTAAACCACGCCAGTTGACTCCATGACAGATCTTTTAATACAGCGTGCATGCGCTAGTGTAAAATAAAGAGCCGAACCAACACTTCCTTGTCAAGTAACAACATTGAAAGGAAATAATATAATATTGTTTATTGACACCATAAAGAGGTAACTTGTGGTGAAACTATAAAACACTAGATCACAGTGGTTCTCAAAGTGTGTGCCCCGGCGCACTGGTGTGTCCTAGAAGCTGTCTATGTGCACCCTGTGGTATTCCAGAGAAATCAGTATCTTGTATATAAAAAATAAATGTATCATTACAATATCATTTACCATTTCATTACACCAATGATTACAGATATACTATAACAGGTTATGTATGTGTTGCATATGTGTAAAAATCTGATTAAAACACAGATCCTATTTCATGTCGTTTTTTATAGTTCAAAATTTTGTTTTATTTGTCTTTACTACACTAGGATCTGGAAGAGTTGTTATCATTGACGTGTTCTGGATGGTGTTAGGTATTAGCCAATGAAACGGTCTGTTATGGCAAGCTTTAGGCATGTTTTGCACGGAACTGTGGGTAATCCATTAGAAACATCAATGCTGATTGGTTAATCAAATGAATGACATCAATGGGTCAAAAGCCGCTCGTACGACCTCTGACGCGACCTATCACAACAACTTGTCAGAACTTCATGTAGTGTAGGCCATCGGAAGTATAAAATAAACAGAACGAAATATAGATCTGTATTCTGATCAGATTGAGTGATATGTGTAACTTATTTCTCAAGGCATGTTTCATTTGATATTTAGTCAATTTCATTTTTATAATATTCATCGGAAATTTGTATATCGGGTCGCCTACAATTATTTGTACGATTTCAAGTGTGCCCTGACTTTTAAAACAGTTTGATAATCACTCCACTAGACAATGAAAGAAATATAGAAACACCGTGGCAAGGAGAAAACTTCCTCTTTAAGGACACTGCCCATAAACCATATGATTAAAGCTTAAATAGATAAATCTAAATAGAATAATAAGCTGTATACATGCAATGATATATGCTACATGTGTTACTATAAATAGATTAGAATACGAATATAATATCAAGTATATATAATAGAAGCATTCAAGTCTACAACACTGCCTTATATTGAATCAAATATGACTAATACATGACAATTATATTAGTGAATTACAGACATTTTAACCACCCATGTAGATTTGGGCATGCCCCATCAAAAATCAGATTTTGTTTTAACAAATTATGTATGTATGTATGTATTTATTTTGTACTTAGAATGAGCTGTTTGTAGCATGACCACTTGATTGACAAATATACCCATATTAAGCCAAATATTCCCAATTGATTGACAAATATACCCATATTAAGCCAATTCCTCTCAATATAATTTCTTCAAATTGGTCCAACAGTATACTTTCAACCTTGTTTACATTACAGAAAGCGAATGGTACTCAGTCCAGACCCGGAGCCGTACCACTACAGAATCTGGACCTGAACAGATCCACTAATATAGAGTTGGTCTTGCTCCAAAACTAGAAGAGTTCAATCGCGGTTTATAAAACAAAATTAGAAGAGTTCAATCGCGGTTTATAAAACAAAACAAACAAACATATAACTAAAAGACAAAACTTCATCAATAATATATCAATAATACCCTAGAGTAATAAAAATAAGAGTTAGGGAAAGGGGAGGCTACGAAGATTACAACAGGGAACACTCACTATGAAAGATTAAAACACACAAACTAGATGACGATCCCAGCATCATATCCCCCCCCCCCTTCTACCCAATTCTGCCCTTTATCATATCCCCCTACTCGATTCTGCCCTCTACCATATCCCCCCTCCATGATTCTGTCCTATATCATATCCCTATCTCCATGATTCTGCCCTCTACCATATCCCCCCTACTCGATTCTGCCCTTTATTATACCCCCCCACCTGATTCTGCCCTTTACCATATCCCCCCCTCCATGATTCTGCCATATATCATATCCCCCCTCCATGATTCTGCCCTCTACCATATCCCCCTACCTGATTCTGCCCTATATCATATCCCCCCTACCTGATTCTGCCCTCTACCATATCCCCACCTTCAGGATCCTGTCCTATATCTTACAATATCTAACTCATAAATGTTTTAAAACGACACACCTGTAAATCGAACTTTAGCAATAATAAAACAAACCAGAAATATGACAAAATCAATATACTCTTCTTATAAAATATTTAAAAACTTTCAACAACAATATCTTACTAAAGTCTAACTGAACAAAAAACAACAATTGATAAATATCATTAAATATTACAACAATATTCTCTTAACACATGTTACCTCGTATATTCACATATTAAACAGCCCTGGGGTAAAAATCCATTTCAATAATAAATTTTATAAATATACCATGTATAATATACCATAGTGAACGTCTTAAAACACAAAAAACATCCTCCTGGATGAATGAATAATACAGAATAGTCGAGAATATCCACAATGGTTTGAATATTATAAAGTTTTATCACAGTTTCAAACAAACAGCTCCACTCCGCGTAATATCCAACAAAAACTATAAAGGCAATGTTCAGAGGAGGCGTGTCATTTGAGCACGACCTAAAATCGTAGAAGCATGACAAGCTGGTTGTATATATATATATATATATATACAGTGTTCAGGTCTAGTATAGAACTTAAACCTCTTGTAAGCTGGCATACGCCTCAATACATACATATAGTCCTATATCGAGACAATATAATTATAGTCTGTTTCTTTTAAATACACCTATTTCCCTAGAGATACCTGTATCTAAATAATTGAAACAAAAACAGGTAGAGTATACCTGGATTATAAAAAGATCAACCAAACAAATAAACTTACATTTTATATTTACGATAATAAAACAACTGATCAGTTATAAATATCTGATATTTTATCTACTGGCCCCCATCAATTCACGATTTTACATGCATATGGTAGGTGTATGTACATGTATGCACATGCAATAAATTAACACTCCCACAATTTTTAAATTGACCTACTCACAAAAATGTCTTAAAAACAAATAACTTCGTAGTTTGGTGAAATATTATTTCCAGAAGATTTTGTGTTTGAAATTAATTAGCCTACTGGTTTGGTGTCAGTTTCACCACCACAATGTATTCTATATTTCTTTCACATGCTATCCACCAGTATTAAAACTTAAAATGTCTTAACCAGAGAGAGAGAGAGAGAGAGAGAGAGAGAGAGAGAGAGATGGGGTTTAACTCCACTCGACACAAACTAGGTCATCTCGCGACTAACGCACGGGTTCAATGAAATTTCAAAAATTCGCTTGCGCGTAGGGGTCTTTAGCAGTGGAGGAAACCGGAGGAAACCGGAGGACCCAGGGAAAACCCACGAGGTTGGACAGGCGACCCTACTCCTTGTCACTTAACCAGACAAAAGTAAAATTGTAAAAAAAACCTAATGTTTCATGTACCTACATGTAGTTCTTGAATGTTTATACGGAAAGAAAAATACAAAATATAGAATATAGAATTATCCAGTGCCCACGCATTAATGATGAAAATTACTCGACAAAAAAACAGGTCATTTGGGTACTAACATGTGGTTCAAATTATTTAGGGTTCATTAACAGTGGGAGGAAGCAGGGATCGAACACCCAACCTCCAGGCTAGCGAGCCAGCATCTTGCCCACTTAGCCTAAAGTACATGCATTAGACCACTCAACCACCCAGTGATGAAAGACAAGTAATATATTTAAAGTTATCGATTCTATCAAGTTAAATAAAGAGAGAATCTGGATGTGAGATGAACCTAGAGTAATGGAAGATATCTGATGAACTTTCATTTATTATTTATTACAGTGTACGCCCTATTTTTATTATATACTCTGTTTCTTATAAATATACAAAATTATAAATACATACGGTAACATCAATTGGTCAAACCTGATCGATGATCAAAGCGAAAGCTCAGATATAACGGAGTAAACCCTCTCTTTGATTAAATATTGAATTGGAGCGAACTTTTGACAAACTATAAATCCAAACGTACTCTAAAGTCTAAAGTCGCGTAACACAAATATACTTCGGGTTCCTAAAACAAAACTAAAACAATTTGGTGATAAAAGTTTCAGGGCTGCTGCACCTCGGCTTTGGAATCAGTTACCAATAAACATTAAAGAGTCTCAAACTTTCACAATCTTTAAGTTTTAAGTTACAACTAAAAACTCATTTGTTTAAACTCTATTATCCAGATTAGAAACAGATTGTTTATTTGTGTTTTTATTGACGAGAGACTCCTGAGATGTTGCGCTTTGAGAATGCGTATATGGATGGATTATTAAGTGCATTACATACATGTATATACATTATTATTATTATCAAGTCAAGTAAAGTATTGAATTAGAGTGAAGTAGGTTAGAATAAAGTATCTAACTCAGCTGATCTGATGTTATATTGTGATTATTGGGTTAATACACATCAATTTATGTTTTAAAGATTAAGCAGAAGTCACCTTATTTATTAATCTTAGTTTACTGGTAAATCTTGTGTTAATGTGAATCAATACATTATTTACATCTCTAAGCTGGTATTTATCTCTAGACGCAAAATCATCAACGAACAAAGACTGTCATCCAATCAGAAATCAACATGTATAAATTTCAGTGAAATCGACAAATCTAACTTTATCCTAACTGATTATTTACTATTCATGTTATATCGGAGATTGCTAGACCTCGGTATCATTTAATCGTGTGTATCTAGCTCTGATTTCTTTCACACTCATTTAATATCAAATCGGATAGTGAGTGTCCAATTTACAAACCTTTAATTTTCTCAATCACTGGTAAAAAATAAACAACCCAATTGATTATTAATGTATAATGATTAATTTTTGAATCAGTGGTCAGGAAATTAAACCGGACACAAGTACAAATTAGATGATTTTGGGTGATTTTAAATGATTTTTACGAATTTTTAAACAAAGATTTGATATTAAACGAATGTGTAAGAAATTAGTGCTAAATACACAAGATTAAATGATACCTGAGTTACAGTGCCAGTAACAACTCTCTTTAATATATTACGTATATAATATGTGTAATACAACAAACATTTTATAACGCAGTTATATATGCATTTAATTATTTTTTTTTTGTGCTCCAATGACGTCTTTCATTTGTAAAGCTATCATTAAAACAACCATTTATCAGATTTTACTTGTAACTACATTAAATTATAGTTATTTTAATATTTAATTTTGATGTAGATATAGTTATAGTTGATGTGTACTAAAATACATACACAAACAAATAATATTCCAGACATACATGTATGAGTAACCATGCTACCTGTCTGGTAATCATGTTATTTTAAAGTCTAATTCTGATGTAGTTATTCTTGATGTGTACTAAATTACGATCATGTATAAATTCCATACTTCATTGCTTGATATTAATGACTATAGAAGCCTAGTGGAAACGTCACTCAGTAATAAGCAGTAATTGTATTCCATAGAATTGTGATATCGGAGCTGGAAAGTAGGATGTTAAACCTCATTTACAAATAATCTTATTTTATTCCCAACGTAATATAATATTATAACCACTGTAACTGTATCAGACTTGGATGGATATACAAATTTAATTTTAGATTTACCTAGTATGTCAGTAAAAAACTGAGGCTGTACATGTACACATTTTTAACTTTGACTGAAATGAAATGGGGTATAAAGTCCTACTGTTCTGCTCCTACTGGGCTAATGAAGACGGCTTACACCATTCAGTGTGCTATGAGGGAAATTTTGCCCAGACAGCGGCGCTACAGCCTACTCATATCAATTTCCAACTGTCAAGGGACCTTTTACGTGCACATCAATGGGTACATCCGAAAGACCAGACAGCTGTCCTTGTCAGGCTGCCTGTCATGCACCAGTGACAAGGTGAAACCACGCTGGAAAATTTTGATGAACTTTCTAGGCCAACAGCAGGAGCGAACACGCAACCTCCAGGCTAGCGAGTCAGCGCCTTACTCACTTAGCCACCATGGCTCCTAACAATGATAGGCACCAGAGGAATAATGTCTGACATTGTTTGTGACAGATGTCTTATTTTATGGCAGGCATCAGGCACATTATCATCTCTTACCACAGATTGGGTATTTGTTTGGAGGAAAACAGAGCAGCAGGAACGGAAATAAAGTGGGTTCTAACATTTTACTTTTTGGCATTATCTCCGAGAAGTCAGAAAAAATCAACATGGTTAGGAAATGAAATGAAATGGGGTTTAACGTCGTACTGTTCTGCTCCTATACTGGGCTAATGAAGACGGGCATACGCCATACAGTGTGCTATGAGGGAAATTTTGCCCAGGCAGCGGCACTATCGCCTACTCTTATATCGAATTCCAACTGCCAAGGGATCTTTTACGTGCATTCCAATGTTTACACGGGACCTCGGTTTTTCGTCTCATCCAAAGGACTAGACAGCTGTCCTTGTCAGGCCCTCCGTCCTGCATCACTGACAAGGAGAAACCACGTCGGAAAATCGGGATGAACTTTCTCAGCAAATGCAGGGATCGAACACCCGACCTCCAGGCAACATGGTTAGGAAATCGAAGCCACGTGTACTAAAGTGGTAATGTAACAATCTGATTAAAATACAGATCTATATTTCGTTTCGTTTTTTTTATACTTTCGATGGCCTACACTTACATGAAGATCTGACAAGTTATAGCGATGTGACCCTTTTGACGTCAGACATTTGATTAACCAATCAGCATTGATGTTACTTGTGGATTACCCACAGTCTCGTGAAAAACACGCTTAAAGCTCGCCATAACAGACCGTTTCATTGGCTTATCCCTGACACCATTCAGAACACAAGTTAAATAACAACTCTTCCACATCCTAGTGTAGTAAAGACAAGTAAAACAAAATTTTGAACTATAAAAACGAAACGAAATAGGATATATGTATTAATGAGATTGGTCATGTAAAAGCATGGGATCGAGAACACAACATTAATCCACTGTTGGTATAATCAGTAGAACTCATTCTCACCATGCCAGGTTTTTTAGTAATACATGTTTTTTGGTAATACGAGGATATTTTAGTGTAACAACATATATATCCACCTAATGTACAACTACAAATACTGCCAGCTAGTTTGAATGAATGGTAGTAGTCCAACTACTACAGTACGCAATAATTCGATAGTTAACATTGAAGATGATTACATGGTCCATTAATCTGTTCGAAGGGAAACCACTCTGTTTAAATATATTACTTCACCACATTCAGGATAGTTCAATTTATTTGACAATATCAGTCAGAGAGAGAGAGAGAGAGAGAGAGAGAGAGGGAGAGAGAGAGAGGGAGGGGAGAGAGGGAGACGGGGTTTAAGTCCACATGACAAAAACTAAATTATTTCAGAACTAACATATGGTTCAATTTTATTTCAATAATTCGCTCGCGCTTAGAGGTCTTTATCTGTGGTAGGAAACTGTACTCCTTTTCACGTACATGCGCAGAATCAAAACCACGCCACCTGACTCAATGACAGACCTGGCCATATGATTTAATGCGACGTGTCAAACCATTTGGCCACCCAATCCCCTAATTCCAGTCAGTA